CCCAGTCCTTAGCTCTTGTGGAATAACTTAAAATGGGATAAGCCAACAGATGGGATAAACCTTAAGAAAAACTATTTGCAGGTAAACAAGTTAGGATAGAATTTGGAGTGCCTAAATGTATTTTAAAAAATAAGATCCTTTTGGTAAATAATTCAGAGGGGTCTCATAACTCCTTATTGGTAGTAGTTGAAAAGACAGAGTTGTTAGAAGTTTAATGTAACCTGAAAAAGCAACAAGGTAAGAAAAGCCTTCCCTCATGAAGTCAGAATTTCGAACATTGGTAACAGTTTACCCCTCATTTTTGTCGACCCTCCAGGTATATGACGGAAACAGTAGAACAATCAACTGATAAATTAGTGGAGGTTAACAGGTGGATGTATGACACCAATGTATGTGTCAGATCAGCTTGAAGTGTACAGAAAGAACATAGACTGTTGAAGAGAGCCCTGGACAGAGAGCGTGCATGGTCACAGCAACATCCCGTACAAAGTGGCATCAAAAGCTGCACTAAGTTGTATGTGGTGGTTTATGCCTGCAATTCCAGCACTTGGGAGGTATAGGCAGGAGAATCATGCATTCAAGCTGATCCTGGGCTACATATTGATGCCCTGCTTAAAATGTATGGAAGGAAAGCTATAGAACATTATGAGTCACACAAACCCAGCAGACATAACACACACAACCAAATTACTCATTTATACGATATACATGGGGACATTCTCTAGGATAAACCATGTATTAGACTTAACATCCCCCCCCCCCCGAGTTCTGAGGATAATGCTCAGAGCATTTTCACATAAATGCTCTTAAAATGAAGTTAGAAACACATCTCTAGTCAGTGGATAAAGAAATCACAAAAGAAATTATAAAATAGCTTGAGATCCACTAAAACAAGGCATAGCATAACTTTAATGTATAAGGTAATCTATAGCTTCAAATGCCTACATTAAAAAAAAAATCTCAAACCAGAATTGTACCCCACTTTAAGAAACTTTCAGAAAAAGGACTGGTAAGATGGCTCAGTGGTTAAGAGCACTGGTTACTCTTGCAGAAGACTCAGGTTCAGTTCCCAGCATCCACCTGGCAGCTGACATTCACCCATAACTCTGGTTCCTGGAGATCCAACACCCTCTTCTGACCGCCACTGGCATTGCATGACATTGGTGCACTTACTTAAATGCAGGCAAAACATTCATTTACATAAAATAAAAATAAAATACTTTAAAGAAAGAAACCAGGAAAAGATGAACAGATTTGCTTAAATGCATAGAGAAATAACATTATATATATATAAATAAAATAGTAAAGAAAAATGATAAAAATATCAGAAAAACCAAAAGTTGGTTTTTTTGGAAATATCAACAAGATTGATAAATTTTACTGCTGATTAAGTAATAAGACTTAATGGGGCTGGAGAGATAACTCAGCAGTTCAGAGCACCGGCAACTAACAATTGCAGTAATTCCAGTTCCAGGGCATCTGATACCCTCTTCTATCTCTGCAGGCATTGCACTGCATGGGTGTACTTAGACACATGCAGACAATGCACATAAAATAAAAATAATAGATTTTTTTAAAGAAATAAGACATCACTAATTGTGAATGATACAGGGGAATCACTTCCAACCTTATGGGAATAAAAGATTGTATGGGAAATCTGGTGAACAGTTTATATGCTGACAGATAACTTGAATGAAATAGGCTAATTCTTTGAATGGCATTAACTACCAAAAATTAACTGAGAAATATAGCTAAATAGGCCTATATTGTGAGTTGAATTGTGTCTACTCAAGATAGATGATATATATATGCATATGTATCTATATATAAAAATATATATACTGTCTTTATAGGAGTAGAGACTTGGAGAGACAGACAATACAGAGAGGGGAAAAGAACAAAAAAGGTGGAAGTGAGGGTTGAGTTACACTCCCTGAAACATAAGAATACCAAGGGTTGTCAGCAACCACCAGAAGGTAGTAGCAGCATGGAGAAACTTGTAGAACCCACAGAAAGGGAATAGTTACAAGCATACCTTGACTTTGGATTTCGACTACAGAACTGAGACTAAATCTCTCCTGTTTAAGCCAATTGTTTTATAGTAATGTATTAAAGCAGTCCTAGGAAACAGCACAACCTAGACCAGGTAAAAAGATTGAAAGTTCTTTTTTTTTTTTTTTTTTTCTCATCTTTTTGAGACAGGATCTCCCTGTGTTCCCAGCTTACCTGAACTCACTGTATAGACCAGGCTGGCCTTGAACTCACAGAGATCCACCTGCCTCTGCTTCCCGAGTGCTGGGACTAAAGGCGTGCACCACCATGCCCGGCATGAATTATAGTTCTTAAAAACTATTATCAAAGAAAAACCTTTTCCTTCTGGTTTTTGCCAGATATCTAAAGTATTAATACCAATTCTTAATTAACTTTTCCAGAGTATTAGAGAGAAGAACTTCTTGTATGGGTCCAGTATCATCTCAATAGATAACTTCCCCCCAAAAAGCATGTGACCAAAACTTTAAAAAAAAAAAAAAGAAAAGAAAAAAACCCAAAAGCCAGGAATAGGAATTCCCTCCACTTCAGCACAACTTCTTCCTACTATCAGTACTTACAGAGTCCTGCCTATGCTCAGTACTTCTGTTAACATTGTTCAGGAGATTCTAACTAGGATAGTTTTGTCAGTAAGAAGAAAGCCAATACCATCCAGATTGGGAAGGGCATGTGGATTAAAAGTTGATAGTCTACATAGAAAGTTCTAAGAAGTCTTTAAAACACAAGAACTAGGGGTGTAGCACAGTGGTTGAGCACTTGCCTAGCATGCAAGAAACTCTGGATTTAGTCCTCAGTACTGTTCTCACTCCCCCTCCACACACCCCAAGAAACAAGGGAGGAAATTCACAAATTCCAGGCTAGCCTGGACTGTATAACAAGAATCTGTTTCAAAACATCATTAGAATTATTAATAAATTCAGGAAGATTCAGAATGTAAAATCACTCTTTAAAAATAAATTTACTTCCATGATATTTAGTGCTGAAATATATGAACATGTGACTTTAAAGAAAATTTCACTTACACATAGAAAAGTACTTGGGAGTAAATTTAACAAAAGAAGTGTAAAGTTTGTACATTGTAAAGTATGAAACTTTTTTGGAAAGTAAATATATACATAGGCATATTTATGGATCAGAAAACTTAACACTGCTAAGATAACTTAAGTTCTTAGTGATACACAGGTACAAATGCCTTCTTAATCAAATTTTCAGTTGATTCAGCTTCTTTGTACATATGGATGAGCTGATCCTAAGTCTATATGAAATTCAAGAGACCCTGAGTAGCTAAAATGATTTTGTAGAAAAACAGGTTGAAAGGATTCACACCTCCCAGATTCAAACTTCAGAATTATAATGGTTAAAATATAACAGTACTAGTAATAAGGATAAAGATAATAAGGATAAGTACTGGGCATAAGAATAGATACATACATGAAGGAAATAGAGTTGAATGCCCCAAAGTAAAATATGTGTCCCATGACTTTCGACAAAGATCCCTAAACAATCCTATGGGGGAAAGAACAGGCATTTGAACAAAAGATGTTGGAACACCATACAGAAACTGAGGTTGGACCCCTCCTGTCCACAGTCACTTAGAATAGAGGTATGTCCTTTAGTTGCAGAACACTTGCTTAGCATGTGGGAGGCTCAGGGTTTGATTCCCCAACACCACAAAACAACAAGATGTAGATCATAGACCTAAAAGTGAACCTTTAAAAAGAAAGCCTTTTAGAAGAACACAAAAGAATCAATGTTCATGAGCTTAAATTAACCAGCATTCTAAAACATGACACCAGAAGCATAGTTGATAAACAGTTAAATTGAAATTCACTGAATGTAAAAACTTTAATGCCATGGTAGGCCTGGTGGCATAGTCCTGTGATTGCAGCTACTTGGGAGGCTGAGGCAACAAGATTGCAGATGTGAAGTGAGATTTTTGTCTCAAACTAAGAAGTATAAAGAAGGGCGCTGGTGAGATGGCTCAGTTGTTAAGAGCACTTGCTGCTTTTGCAGGGCACCAAAATTGGGTTCCCAGTACCTATATCAGTTGACTCATAACTCCCTATAACAGTAGCTCCTCCCAGGGGATCTGACACCCTCTTTTGGTCTCAGCAGGCACCTACTTGAGTGTTCAGGCACATATAAACACACATAAATCTTAAGGCCAGGTGTGATGACACATGCCTTTAATCCCAGCCCTTGGGAAGCGCTCTCTGGTCTCTATAGGCCAACTGGAGCTGCAGGATGGAGCTCATTGTAACCTCCACATACCTCCTATAGCATGTGTGTGAAAATACACATACACTAAATAAATAAATGTAATAAAATTACAAAATAAAAAGCATTCTGTCTCATTTGTTTGAACTCTGGCTATAGAATAATAGAATTCATAGATATTTGGATGTTTAAGGAAATAAAATTTAGTTTACTCATACATTTTGGGCATAACTCATAAGTGACAAACCAGTAAAAGGCATCCAGATTAGACATTTATACTTATTTTGCTTTTATACTTTTGGAAACAGTTTATTCTGACTTAAAAATGGTTGATTTTTGTTGTTGGCTTTTGTTTCATTTTGCAGTGCTGGGGCTAGAACCTGGTGCCTTGGAGATGTTCAGTTAGTATTCTGTCACTGAGCCACACAACCCCAGGCCTCAACCAAAGTTCTGAAGACCCAGGGGAATCTGAAATAAAAGGTCTTATTGAGATACTGCAGGTATCTCAGATAGTGAGATCAGGACCCTCAGGTGCCAGAAGGGCCTGGTAATAGGTTAAATACTGTGCAGATCAGAGCTCAGAGCATTTTGTATACCTGATTTAAAGTTTTTAGTATTTTGATTGTGTTATATTAATTTGTTTCATTCATCAGTAACATTTGTTTGCATCTGTGCTTTTGATTTTTGAATGGGGAAAGATTTTTGTACAAATATTTCACCCAATATTTTCGCAGGGACACTTAGTCGGTCTGGATGAACCAGCTTTGGGAGCTGGGCAAGAAGCTTTGCTTAAACAAGAGCACGCAAAAGTCATTCGATTCGAGAGGCAAGCAGAAGAGTTCCTCCATGCAGTCTTTTATAGAAAAGGTTGGTTTCTGTGACAACTGACACTTAGCATCTGCTTGTTTTATGTTAATCTCCTTCATTTCAATGTCATTTAAGTTATTCTTAAAATAGTTTTCTTTATTGATTATATACTGCTGTATTTCTTTGGTCACATTAAGTTTGGAATAAAGTTAAGACACTGCGTTGCCCTCTTTAGTTCTGAAGCGGGGGTAAATTTTAGTTAAATAGTTTAGGAAATTATGAAACTCTCTAAGTTTTTAAAGTCTTAGTAGTTCTGTATTCTTTTAGACCAGCTTTAGAAATAAAGAACGACTGTTTCAGTCACTAATAACTGTAAAGCCAGCTCCGTAAATTGAAATTCCAATCTGAAATTTCATTTGAAGATAAAATGTAGTTTTATCTTATATTTGTAAGCATTTTTCCATTGATTTAATCTTATTTCATTTAAGTTTTAACTTAATTAGGGAAATTTACTAATAAAACCTTCTTGCTTACATTTTGTATAGAATTTAATAGCTCCCTCTTGGGTTTTTCAGCATATCTTGCTGCTTGAAACTTGTTTTAAGAGGCTTGTTTTATATTTGTTTTGAAAAGCAAAAAAGATCTCTCCACAGACTTGTCCAACTCATGGCCCACTTAAAATACTAGGAGTTTGTTTATTTGTTTTTGCAACAGAGACGATGACAACATTGTATTGCGATATGAAAAGGTTGAACATTTGTGCATCAGTCTTGAGGTTGGAAATTCTTTGTAGAGCCATTCAATTCATTTCTTTATCCACAAAATATAACTACAATCAGCCATAGCCTTCAGGAAACTTCTTTATGATTCATACTCATTCATATTCCCCCCTCATTTTGAGATGGAATTTCTCTGTATACCCCTGGCTGGCTTAGAACTCACTGTGTAGACCAGACTGGCTCAAACTCACAGTGATCTACCTGTCCTAGCCTCCTGAGTGCTGAGATTAAAGGTTTGCACCACCACACCCAGCAAGTCTTTACTTTCAATAAATTCTGAATGGATTTGTATGCCTTATTTATACTTTTCCCTCTCCTCCTAAGGTAGAGATGATTATGATATGTTCTAAAAAAAAGTTTACTACAAGGCAGGCATGGTGGTAATCCAGTCAGGGAGTTGAGATAGGAAGATGTTGAATTCTAGGTCAGCCTGGACTAAGAGAAAGAAAAAGTTCTTTTCAAACTACTGATAATCTTGACTTCACTTTATCATTTCCTGAAGTGCCCAGAGTTCCTTTTAAAGTTACTTTTATTAGCATTTAATTACTTTATTAAAGTAGTTAATATTTAAGGTGTAAACTATAGTTTATTAACCAAATTTGTTAACAGTTAACTCTTCTATGTGTATAAGTATTTTGACTACATGTATATAAATGCACCACATATGTGTAAGGCCTGTGGAAGCCACAAGAGGTGTTGGATCCCTTGGGACTGGAGTTGCAGATGAGTGCTGGGAACTGAACCCAGGTCCTCTGCAAGAGCAGCCATTACGCCTAACCACTGAGCCATCTCTCCAGCCCCCTATAGTTACTCTCTTTTAAGATACACACACACACACACACACACACACACACACACACACACACACAGTGTCATTGGTCTATATGTTGTTTTTAAAATACTATTTTTTATTTTATGTGTCTGTGTTTATTGCCTGCTTGCGTATAAGTGTACCCATGTTGTGCTGTGCCCATAGAGGTCAGAAGAGGGTGTTGGATCCCCTGGAACTGGACGGTTGTTAGCCATCATGTGGGTGCTGGGAATTAAATCCTGGTCCTCTGCCAGAGTAGCCAGTGCTCTTAACCACTGAGCCATCTCTCCATCCAGTGGTCTATATGTTGTTATATAAACATAAAGTCTTATGTGTTTATAATATAAAAATAGGAACCCCTGCCAGGCATGGTGGTGCACGCCTTTAATCCCAGCACTCAGGAGGCAGGGGCAGGCGGATCTCTGTGAGTTCAAGGCCAGCCTGGTCTCCATAGTGAGTTCCAGGACAGCTGGGGCTACAGGGAGACGCTGTCTCAAAAAGACCAAAAAAAAAAAAAAAGGAACTCCTCTTCCTAATAGACATTCTTTTATTTATTACTTTTATGTGGATGGGTATATTGCTTGCATGTATGTAAGTGCACCCATGTCATGCAATGCCCATGGAGGTCAGAAGAGGGTGTCAGATCCCCTGGAACTAAGAGTTATGGTCTGTTGTTAGCCACCATGTGGGTGCCGGGAATCAAACCTGGGTCCTCTGTAAGAGCAGCCACTGACCCATCTCTGCAGACCCCCCTAGAAAGACAGTCTATCTTACTTTCCGTAGTCCCCATACATTGTCCTGGAGGAATACCTTAAAAGTTCCTACCAGCTTTTGGGCACATAATGTCTGCAGTAGGAATTCTTATTTTGGCATTGGTTTTAGGATTTCAAGAGACGTGAATCCTTGGAAATTTTTTTATAACTTAAGGTTGTGTATTTTGGTCATACACTGGTATGAAAAGCTCAGAAAAAGTAACTATTTCTTTGAAATTGTAAGTTCTTCCCCTTGTTCTATATATTAATATTAGGAATTTTTGATATTATCAAATATCTAAAAATATCTCAAAAATGGAAATATCTCAAAAATGGACATTGCATCCTATTGCCAAAAATGCTCATTATCCACGAAGATGGCCGAAAATCTTTTCTGAAGGGAGTTTTTATAACTCTTAAGGTTGAGTTTCTCTTATCTTAAATGCTTAGGATGGTTTTTTTAGGTTTCAGATTTTGAAATCTTTGTATGGACTTTACCAGTGAAGGAACCCTAGTCCAGAAACCCAGAATCCAGACTTATTTAATCCAACACCTTTTGGTGCAATTTCAGAGCATTTTGGATTTCAGATTTTCAGATTAAATATGTTCAACTTTAATTCAGGTGCTTGAATTTATTCCTTTGTATCCAGCTGTTGTAAAGTAAATATTTTAAGTAATTATGCAGGAATTTTGTGTAGCTAAGTAGAAATGTAGATGCTATAAAAGTAAGGACTCTTAACAACTTCTGAGCCGTATACTTTTCATAATTATAATCACATTCTTTTTTAGCCTCCTTTTTTTTTACCTGTTTTAAAATTTTTGATAATTTTCTAAAAGTAATTTGAATTTTAAAATATATAACTATGGTGTAACAGTTATGTGTTTTTCTCTAGTTTTGTTGTTTTTATTTGACTCAGTTATGAGTGTTTCCCTAGGCATGGCCATAATTACAGAATATACATTTTTAAGTAAATCAAAGAATGAATGCATTCAGGAAACGTTCAGAAGATGTAGAAGTTTAAATGGCAGAGATGTCATTCACAGACATTGTATATTTTGTCTGATGGTTGTGGTATTCATTCAAGCAAAAGGCAAAATATACCATTGGATTTTAAACCTCAATGGCAGCAATTTATGGTCTTTAAACTTACCACAAAGCTCTTTAATGCTATTATTAATACTAGATAAACAGAGACATCACATAAATTATTTCATTTTGCTCCCATCTGGAAATTTTCCTCTTTATTGCATATTCTCATGAGGCAGAAGATGCCACTAAAATACTGAAATTTTATATAATTTTTTTATAATCTTTTATATGGAGATTATATGCTATGTAGGGGACCCCAATAGAACTTACTCCTACAAGTTGTCCCCTGACCTCCACACATGCCATCACACATACACAGGTAAAAAGAAAGTTCAGTGGCTAGGGATATTTTTAACGGTACCATATGTCTAAAATGTTTATTAAAACATGAGACAACACTGTCATCAGTTGTAAGAACTGAATCTTCATTAGCTACCCTTTCTCATAAACCATTTACAATACTAAGTCTATATTTATAGAGGAAAATTAGAGTTATAAATACATCTTAGGAAGACAGAAGCTTTCTAGGTAGAGCAAGTCTTGAAAGAATTAAATAAATGGTGTCACTTTATGAGCATCTGCTGATAGTGAGCATTGTTCCTCACAGGGAAAAAGGTTTGTTTGGGGCCTTGCAAGGTTTTGAGGATTTTCTATTGTGGAGGTTTTATATTTTAGTAGTAATAGAAATCGTTTTTTCCTTTAACTTTATAAATCAACTTCTACAGTTTCTCACATTTCAAAAATATTGCAGTGTTTATTTGCCTTTCTATATAATCTTCAAAACAAACAAGGAAACTAAAGTTTTCTTAGAATTTTTGTAAAGGCCATAGACATACCTTGGGGAGTTAAGGGCACAGGTAGAACAGTAAGTTAGGAGAAGAGTTTTTGTTTTCTGTTTGTTTCTTTGTTTGTTTTTGATCTTTTTGAGACAGGGTCTCCCTGTAGCCCCAGTTGTCATAGAACTCACTATGTAGACCAGGTTGGCCTTGAACTCACAGAGATCCGCCTGCCTCTGCCACCACGCCCAGCAGGAGAAGAGTTTTTATCAGTAACTACCTATACAAACATAACTCACTGTTCTCTCATTTTTAAGGCATTATTTGGTAATTGGTTTGACTGTTGCATTTATTAAATAAAGCAAGCAGACACTTTGCACCAGGAAAAGTTAGGGATACAAAAATAGACACAGTACCTGTATCATTACAGAAATATGAGAATAGATTTATATAGATCATTTTCCCCTTGTATTGTAGCCCATATCAACTTGAAGGCCTTTTCCTATTCTAAAAGTCATTAAGTTCATGCTCTTTATTTTAAACTTAACATTGACTAAACATCGATTACTTAAGTGTTTAATTCATTACTTTCCTAACTGTTCTGTAAATGTTGGCAGAGTATGCTTAACATATAGAAAACGTATGGTTTCCAGTTTTTGAGATTTGACATTTAAACTCCCAACTCAGGAGTTCTAAACCCATGGTTTCCAGACCAGCAGCAGCTAAGAACTTGTTAAGAATCCATTTCTTAAGACCACAGTAGAACCACTAAAACTCTGCGGGCAGGACTCAGCAATCTACTTTTATGTGGATTTTAAAATAAAATCATAGATCCTGAAGTTAAATATTTTATACATAGTTTTGTTATGCCATCGGTCATTATTAACAGGAAATAAATTAAGCACTCATGAATTCAGTAATTCATACTTAAAAATTTTGAGGAGACAGCTGACGGAAAATCTAGGGGAAGCATGATGTTATCTGTAGATGTTAACAAGAAAGTGATTATTTCATGAGAGAAGGTTTTTGTATTTCTATATCAGGTAAGTGGTTCTTACCCCTCAAGATACACTATTTGTTATCCCTTTATTTACTTTCATAATCCTAGGGGGGGGAAATGTTTAGAAATATTTATATGGAAATTTTACTTTCAGTAATCTACAACTCAAAAGCTTAATATAAATCAAATGAAAAATACTATTGTTAGGATACTAGGTTTTTAAGAAAGACTAAAATGAAGCTTTATGTTTTCTTGAAAGCTATCTTTTTTTCTTAGTACATTGTCAGACTTTAAAAGTTAATAAATCTTTGTTTACAGATAGTCCCTGGGTCTCCGACCCCAATATTCCCCTAGTGGCCCGTGAGATCATGCAGCGAATGATCCAACAATTTGCTGCTGAATATACCTCAAAAAATAGCTCTACTCAGGACCCCAGCCAGCCCAATAGCACAAAGAACCAAAGCCTGCCGAAAGCATCTCCAGTCACCACTTCTCCCACGGCTGCAACTACACAGAACCCTGTGCTCAGCAAACTTCTCATGGCTGACCAAGACTCACCTCTGGACCTTACTGTCAGAAAGTCTCAGTCAGAACCTAGCGAACAAGGTATGGTTTGATGTCGTGATCTCCTCTATCCAATCAGAAAACTTTAATTGAGGGAGAAAAAAATTACTTGGAAATAGGGTTCCAGTGGCAATAAGGAAGAAGCTAATGTTATTCTAGCTGGGCACGATGACATTGCCTGTCATGGGAGGCTGAGACCAGAACCTCACTTGAGCCTAGGGGAGCAAGGCCAACCTGGGCAACATAGTAAAACCTTGTCTTTTAAAAACATGATTCTTCCTGGGCGTGGTGGTGCACGCCTATAATCCCTATAAGCACTTGGGAGGCATAGGCAGTCAGATCTCTGAGTTCGAGGCCAGCCTGGTAAGCCTAGTGAGTTACAGGCCATCTGGGGCTACAGGGTGACCCTGTATCAAAAAAATTAAAATAAAAAAATAAAAATGTGATTCTTAAATTGTTCCTGATCACACAGTGATAGAGAGGTACAGAGTTATTACAGCCTTAACCATCAGCTATAATGGTGATTGATGCACCACTGAAGAAAGTCAGGTGGTTGGTTACACTTGTTATTGATCTTTAAATTAACATGATCTTAATATAAGCGTTTTTTGCTTTCTAAAATAATAGATTAACTATGAAAAAACAAATTTTTCCTCTTATCCTTGGTGCTTTAGAATTAACACCTATCTTAGAAAAATGCCTTTATCCTATAAGTTATACTCTACAAATGAGGTAAGGAAAACATAGTTTCAAATAAGAATATTAGTATTACGTATAAAAGAGAAAATAATAGAATACTCTTTAGGTTGTTAAGTGTCATATATACACACATACTGCATTTTGGAAATAGCCTTAAGGTGTTCCCAAAAATTTTTTGGAAGGCACAAATTTGCAAAAAAAATGAGGAAGGTGAGCAGTTTTATTAAGCAAATGTTTCTTGAGTCTCTGAAAAGCTTACCATCTTAAGCAGATTCACTGATCCTGTTGCTTTGTGATCTCGTTTGACTTTTAGTTTCACAAAGATGCTATCAGCATTTCAGCTTAGCTACTGTTTGAACCTCTACAAATAACTAAATTGGTGGTATTTTAAATAAGAATTTGTCATCAAAATTTTATACCGTAGCAGAAAAGTTATGCATGGGTTTATTGGTGATAAATATGTCTTAGTTTTGGAAAGAAATTTAATTTTCTAAAAGAATTTCTTCAGAGGACTTTATTTTTCTTATTCTAAGTAATTTACACAAAATTTCCACTTAATTGACTGGCTTTAGTTGCTTAGTAAAAAAATGTATTTGGGTAGGTTTCCTTTGATTCTTTACCCTTCTTTCCCTGTTGAGATGTGGTGAACAGTGAACAAAACACCTAAATTCTGGGAAAGTCCCACACAGGAGCCCTCTTAGTTACTGCATTCACACTGACCAATGCACCTTTGGTTATCATACTTGCAAAGTTTTGTCTTTCCTGTTTTATTGGGAATTGTTTACTAGAAAATGACAGTTTTCACTAAAAATCTCTTTGCTCTAGATAGATTTATAGCAGAATGGCAGCATGAGGGGTGAGTGTTTAAAGTGTTACTAATGGAGATTTATAGCATACAATGATTGCACTGAGTCTACCTGTTGGTAGCTAGTGTTAAAAGATAACTTGTGGGGGCTGGAGAGATGGCTCAGCAGTTAAAAACATTGACTGTTCTTGCAGAAGACCCGGGTTCGAGTCCCAGCAGCCACATGGCAGCTAACACCTGTCCATAACTCCAGTTCCAGGGGATCCAACAGCCTTTTCTCTCCTCTGCGGGCATTGCACGATACGGGTGCACTTTCATACATGCAGGCATAACACTCATACACATAAAATAATAAATGAATTTTTTTTAAAGATAACTTGTGTTGATAGCATAATTGTAACAAAAGAAATGTGAATTACATGATAGAATTATAGTATGTAGACTTTAAATGAAGCAAAATTTAAAAGTATTCCCCTAATGAATTCTGGTGTTTTCAACAATATTCCTAATATTTTTAGCAGTAGATTTTAAGTGTTTCCTATCTTACAAGAAAAATTAGCTGTTTGATTTCAAGTTCTCTAAATAATATTATCTTTGCTTTAAAATAGTCTAAGCACTTTTTTTAGGTTTCTACTTGAGTACTAGATATCTAGTAGATACTAATTAGTTCTATAAGATTACAGTTGTATTTGTAGAGGTGTTAATGACTTAAAGACAAACTTGCTGAGGATGAGCTTTTTAAATTTATATTTAGGTTCAGTTTTATTTCTAACAGTCTGGAATGGGGAAGTGAAGTGGGGAGGTACAGTGTCCTCAGATGCAAGTTCTAAGAGTTTATCTAGGACTTATTTTTGACATAGCTAGATATGAAGCTTTTCCTGCTCTTCAGCTGAAAATTAGTCAGAAACATTGTACATTATCTTTCTTGTTAATTTTAAACAAAATGACAACTTTGAAAGTTTTCAAAAAGTTTTAAATTTGAGATTTCATTATAGATATGTCTTCTAGGGGAAATAGCTGAGGAAAAGGAAGTCTTTAATTCTGTGTGCTAATAACACAAATTTGTGATTCGGTCTAGCCTTTAGGTGATATTTCCAGACTTTTACCATAGTAAGACTGCTTCATTTTTCTTTCCGAACTTTGAACACTGATTTTAAAATACCTTCCTAATTAAAAAAATAAAAAAGCTTTGCCTTTACAAATTTTAGCATTTGAACTTTGAATTTGCAATTTTTTTTCAAAAGGTTGAGCTCATATACATTTTTAGTTTTTTTTTGTATTAAAAGATAATTAGAATACACACAAATTATAAGCTATTAACAACTGATTCATCCTACAGACTATATTGTTGTGTGTGTGTGTGTGTGTGTGTGTGTGTAATTCAACCATATGAAATCATTTAAAAATAATTTTTCATCTTTTACACTATTTTCACTTTTCTTTTGTTCCATTAGCAAAATATTTAATCCTTAGAGATGCTAAGTACAATATGCTTTGCTAAATTTGTCTTTTGGGAGAAATATATCTTGATTTTTTTAAGGAAATTTTAATGACTCAATAATGACAAATATATCTAACTTAGTTGTCATGGCCTGCTTCTTCGTTTTTAGTGTAATCAGTTCACATTTGCTTCCATTCTTAATGTCCTCAGGTGTTTCTTTGTGTCTCTACAGACGGTGTACTTGATTTATCCACTAAGAAAAGTCCATGCGTTAGCAGCACTTCCCTGAGCCATTCACCAGGCTGCTCCAGTACTCAAGGGAACGGGTAAGGGAAATCATTTTAGCCCTCCACAATTTCATATAGATAATTCATCAAAGACGAATCAACAGTCTCCCTGAACATTCTAAAATTTTACCCTTCAGATTAACGATCTTACAGGTGAGCCTTTTACCAAAAATTACTCAGTTCATTGATAAAAGTATATTTGTTCAATCTAGAATTGGCTAGTGTAGATCAATTTTGTCAGTACATGTAGTAAGTAAGCATGAATATGACAAGAATATGCTTTGAGGCCTTTGTTGTTAAGTGTTTTGGAGTGTGGAAACTATGCTAAATAATTGCAAAGTTTAGATATAAAGACAGTATTATCTGTGCTCAAGCTGTCGAATGAAAATTGGGCTCCAGTATTTCACTTGGTATCCCTAGTGAGATGTGTGTTATGTGTGTTCAGTTTTCTTTGTTTTGTTTTGGTTTTGGTTTTATTGGTTTTTTATTTGAACTGCTGTTTTAATTCCATGGCAGTTCAGAAATGTGATTGTATGTATTTTTTGCTTTAATATATGAGAAGATTGTAGATGTAGATGGATAACCATCCTGCATTGCAAAAACAGTACATGCTCAGCTTGACAACTCTTAATGAACTACAGTGAATTCTGTGATCATTTAGTATTATAGTGTAAGAATTGTATGTATCTAGTAACCATTTGACAAGGCAGATGTCAATAAACACACTTAGACACTATATTGGAAAATTGTTGTAACCAAAACCTAACGCCATCGAGATAGGAAAATAACTTCGGCAATTTAAATTAGTTGATATTTATGTGTATTTCATTTTATAAGACTATTGATATGGGGAGATTTTTAGATATTAAAAGATCAAGTAGGCAGTAAATGGACTTAACCTTTTCCAACTTACTCTTAATTGCCTTCAAATTGAAAGATTCCTCTACTGACTTCTAAAAATTTCCTTGTATTTTCTCTAAAATTCCTTTGTTTTCCTTTTTCCCTTACTCTGTTCAGTCTAAAAACATCAGTCCATCTTTGTATAGTTTGAGTTGACATTTTTTTTTCAGGCTCTCATTGTGTGTAGACTAAATATGGGGCAATATGTTCCCAAATCATTTGGTTCCCATTTCTATACCAAAACTACTTGAGTTATGACAATTGTCTATCTAGTAGAAGCCCGAATACAATTTACACAAACGAATCCTTGTTTAAGAGTCACCTTGATCTTGGCTACCAGGTTCATGTGTTACATTGTTCAAGTTGCTGTTTGTTCCTCTGAATGGGAAGTGTTTTCTACGTGGTTTTGTCTTGTGGAAGACAAATGCACAGCAGCACTGCCAGTCTTTCAGTTGAGTATTTAGTGTTACTGTGTTATTGGTGGCAGTAGTCTCTGTAAAGCTTGGGAGAGGATAGCTGGTTTGTTATTATTTCTGCAAAATTCTTTAGGGCTTCACTGATAGAATCATTCCCTTGGGAATGCTTTGCTAACTGCCAGTCTTAAGATCAACAACACATCTTTATTATGAATCAAAACCTTATGAATTAGAGGCTGGGGAGATGGCTCAGTTACTGAAGTGCTTGCCACACAAACATAAGGACTTGAGTTTGTATACCCATCACCCACAGGTGGCAGGGCTGCTGAGTCTGTAACCCCACTGCTGGGGAGGGGACAGAATGAGACAGAAAGATTCCTGGAGGTCATTGATCAGCCAGCCTACCTGAATCAGTGAGCTCCAGCTTCAGTGAATAACCCTATCTCAAAAAATAAGGAGAGAGACTGAGGAAAGAAGAGTCCTGACATAACACACACACACCCTACCACCATCACCATCATCTTACTAATTAACTGTGTGTAATTGACTTTGAACATTATTTCGCCATAACCATTTGATATTTCAAGAAGAGTTTTTCTTACAGAAAATCCATGCAAAGTTATTTATACCTTTGATAATACTTGCTTTGAATATAAGTTAAAAACAAATTTTGGGGGAAAAATAAAATGTTACTTTGAAGAGTCTGTAATAGTCCTGCATCTACCTACAACCAGTAGGGTTTTTTAAATGAAGAAATGTGGTAAGTTACAATGTGCTGAGTCTTGATTTCTCTTGACTTCCTTCCCCCACCTTAGGACCGATTGCCATATACATCTTTACCCCAAGGAATATAAGAAATGTCATTTGGAATTGTTTGATTTTTAATGATAAACGTTAACTTGTTTGTGGGATAAATGAACATTATATATGGGTTCCACCAGTGTAAATGTTTCCAGCTTTTTAGCTAGTTGTCATGAATGTTGACTACATTGCATTAAATAAATAATTTGGCTTACTCTTTTATTACTGTGCTTGTTTAGTGGTAACGTCACATTGGTAACAATTCTGTATAAATACATGGAGACTAATGATTACTTTGTAATTAAGGTGCTATTTTCAGACAGTTGCGCGAAATCTTTTCTCCGAAAATTTGTGAACCCAACCAGAGACCAGCCAACAGGTTTTATTTTTCTTTGCCCAAAAAGCTCCTGTTTTTTTTGTTGTTGGTTTTTTTTTTTTTTTCCTTTTTCCTTTTTGTGAACAAGTTTTAAAACTAACTGCCAAGACCATGTGTTTTGTTTTTTTTTTTAATTTTAGAGAAAAATAAATAAATAACACAAAGTGATGTTACCCAAGCAAGGCCTTCTAATAAAGGAGTGGTCCCCTCACCCATCCCTCCCTACCTGTGCAAGTCCTGCTCACATCAGTTTCCTTCCATCCAATTAGGCGACCTGGGAGACCCAGCCAGTACCGCCCAGACGGACTTCGGAGTGGTGATGGGGTACCTCCAAGAAGCTTACAGGATGGAACCAGGGAAGGTTTTGGACACTCCACATCACTCAAAGTTCCACTGGCTCGATCCCTGCAGATTAGTGAAGAACTACTGAGCAGAAACCAATTGTCCACAGCTGCCAGCCTTGGGCCATCTGGATTACAGAATCATGGACAACACTTAATATTATCCAGGGAAGCCTCTTGGGCAAAACCTCATTATGAATTCAACCTCAGCCGTATGAAGTTCAGGGGAAATGGTGCACTCAGCAACATCAGTGACCTTCCTTTTCTTGCAGAAAACTCTGCCTTTCCAAAAATGGCACTTCAAACGAAACAAGATGGAAAAAAGGATGTGAGCCATTCGTCTCCTGTAGATTTAAAGATACCACAAGTTCGAGGAATGGATCTTTCTTGGGAGTCTCGCACTGGTGATCAGTACAGCTATAGCTCTTTGGTAATGGGTTCACAAACGGAGAGCGCGCTTAGTAAAAAATTAAGGGCTATTCTTCCAAAACAAAACAGAAAAAGCATGTTAGATGCTGGACCTGATTCTTGGGGCTCAGATGCTGAGCAGTCTACCTCTGGACAGCCATATCCCACATCGGATCAAGAAGGAGACCCTGGCTCCAAGCAGCCTCGGAAGAAAAGAGGGCGTTACAGACAGTACAACAGTGAGATACTGGAGGAAGCAATCTCAGTGGTTATGAGTGGAAAAATGAGTGTTTCCAAAGCTCAGAGTATTTATGGGATTCCCCACAGTACACTGGAGTACAAAGTAAAGGAGAGGCTGGGCACTTTGAAAAACCCTCCAAAGAAAAAGATGAAATTAATGAGGTCGGAGGGGCCAGATGTTTCTGTAAAGATTGAGTTAGATCCCCAGGGAGAGGCAGCACAAAGTGCAAATGAATCAAAAAATGAGTAGGAATACTGTAGAGTGCCAATTACTGTACACACTGGGTGAGCACTACTGCATCATTGCTCAGCTGTCATGCGTGCACCCAACTTCATCACTGTGACACTTGTCTCTCTGCAGGTTTTGCATTGACTTGTGTGTACAGAGGTGAAAAAGTGCGTTCTGAATGTTGCATATTTTAAATTTCCATGTGCAGTATGGCTCGGAATATTGTTTGGCCTTTTGCATGTTTCTCTACAAAAAGAGAATTGAGTTACCTCACAGAGACCAGATAACGTGGAAGTGGACTCCTTGCCTGTAGAGCCTGCATGCTTTTATTTCTTTTTTTCCCTTAAGTTATGTTTGCCTTTACTTAAAAAAACAAAAACAAAAAAGAGGAAAAAAAAAAAAAAAAGCCCCATTTAGAGATCACCTCTGTCATACTAGGGGCTTTATCATTGCAAATTGGAAAGCCATCTTAAAATGTCAACATTTTCTTCTATGATTCAACTAATTGAAGGATTAAACTAAAAGAAAACTAAGAAAATGAACCTTTGAATTTAAGAAATTTTCTTTACTCAATGATAAATACTTATTTGGGTCATTTATAATAATACTTTATCATTTTCTTCTCACTCTTACATTTTACTTCAGGAATTAGCAATGTATTTAGTGCTCACCCAGAGGGGAAGGAGGTGGAAAATGTGCACACACTACCTTCAGAAATGTTTCAGTTAATTATGTTGAACACTACCTTTGCTGTAATTTCATTTGAGATTTTCTAAGGGTAGAATTTGGTCTCACCAACAAGTGAGAATATAGCCTTATCTCATGGAGGACGAGCTCCCTTCTTACTCAGGAGCAGTCAGGGTACATTACATAAAACGATGGAGGATGCCTCATTTTAGCAAACTGTTTCTTTGTATTTTTCAATGCTTTTACGGAACTGATCATAAACTAACAAAGAAAAGAATTGTTTCAGCCTTTAGTTTAAACTAGTCAAGATATGTTTATTGGGGATGAAAGAAGTAGAGAAAGCAATGTGTATAAATAATTATGACTTAGCTAAAATGATACGTAGATTTTGCAGCCTCAATAATACCTACATTGATGAAGGATCTAAGTTTTTGGTGAGAGAAAAGCAACACAATCCCAAGGTAACCTAATACGATTAGGTTGCAGGTCAATTCTAATAATAG